ACGGAGGTTATCCAAAATTCAAATGCCAAATCGCGTACGAACGCAGCTCTAAGTTACGAAAACGATTTTTTTGTTATAATATTTAAAAACCGAAGCATTGATAAGTATTCTTTGAACATTATAATTACTTAGACATCGTAAAATATAACGCCATATATACAGACCAAAATCATTGTTCGTCTGTTCGGACTTCAACCATCTTCGGCTTTATGCAATGCTAGCTATTAAACGCAAAAATCTAAGTCATATATATAGGCATCGACACTGCAAGTAGTGTGCAGAAATTTCACTTTTCATATAAACCTTCGGGCTCGCTGGTATAATGGTAGCAGTGCCTGACTAATAACCAATGGGTTCGATTCTCACCGGGTTCAACGTTTTTCTTATAATGTTCTATAAGAAAATAAAATATTTCCTTTTATATCTAATTAATATAAACTATTATGTAATACAATGTTAAAATATCGATCTAAGTACTATGTTTTATCTAAGGAGAGTACTCATATTTCCCATCAACTGAATTTTTTCTTATCTTCTCTAGGCTTAGCGCAGAAAGAAAGGCATCTATTGTCATTTCCGTATAAGATCGAGGACCTTGATTCGGGTCACATTTGGAGTGATTGATGGCTGTTTGTGAACCAAATCCTTATCAGATACTAACACATTGTTTCTAATAACTGTTTTCGATCGTGACTTTGTTTATCATAAATTAAAATTAATGTGGCTTTGAATTCATTTAGCTTTTTACGCGGCTCCGTCTGTGTAATTATTTTATTGCTTAGCCCCGTCTCCTGTGTTACCTAGTTTATATATTTTTGCAAACCCGTTTTTTTTAGATAAAAGCAATCAAATTAAAAACTATATTCCTATATTTGATGTATTTTAATTTCAGTTTTTAAATATTAGACCGTTATCTTCCGAAATTTAATTACATTCTAAAAATGTATTTATGAAATACTTATTTTCTTAAGCTATACAATTTTGTTCTTGTATACGTATCATATATGTTTTTAGATGATGAAAAATTTTGCATACTCACAAGTCATTAGACACACTGAGTAAAGAAAAAAATTAAGAATAACTGAAAATGTAATGACCATGAATGCCTTAATAAGAAAACATGACGGGCTGCAGTCGATAAATAATTTTAATGTTTATACAGTGAAAGGAGTAGTGGAAGACCTTGGGCGATCCTACATTATCAAAATATATTTATAGCATATCCGTGAAATAATAAAATTAATTTATTATTTAGTAATTAATGCGAAAACATTATTTTCGCTATATTTCTCAAATAATACTTCGTAATCAATAAGTACATAGTTAACTATCTAGGTCTTACTTGACTATACGATTTTACCATTTCCCTGGGGAATAAAACCCGGGACTGCTCAGTGGCAACTGTCTTCATAAAACCATTTATATTACTGTCGTTCTTTGTGTCATAAAGACTTATTATACATCTGAGGAAAACTTTTGATTTCAACGCAAATATAGTTACTTTTGACATTTAAATTCCACTTCCTATTTAAGAATATTTCAATAAGAAAAGCGAACAAAAAATCTCGTATCAACATTTCCTGCTGGGAATAAATTAAGATATTAAAGTAAACTGACAAGATTTGTTTATTTCACACAGAAGTGTACAATTATTTAATTGTAGTGAGGTAAACATTTATACAAAACAACTACAGTACACACTTTTACTGTAATAATTTTTTGGTCATTCTACTTGTGTTTTTGTAAAAGTGAAGCATTCTTTTGACAAATTCTTATTGTGTCAAGTTCTGTGCAGGCGGACTTATAACTATATTCGTTTCAAATAAATAAAGCATTTTAACGGTTTAAAACGCGATATATATTAGTTAAACTTATTTTAACTACGGCCCGAAGTTTCACAGATATACAAGTGGTTTAAGTGTATGCGTTAAATCGAATTATTGAGAGCTGTTAAAGTACGGAATGACGCTTGCTGTCGACCCTTAGCATTTGCAGCTCAAATCAGTGGAGCCTTGAAGGTCGACCGGCAAATGTCACACGGACAACTCAGCAGGTGCACGCCTAGTTTAGTTATTTACAATATACATTCATATTTAGAATTGCGATAAACGTTATATTGGTATTTGTGGGTAATTGGTAGGACTCGGTAGCTCAATTGGTAGAGCAACAGCACGGACCGCTGATGATGCCGGTTCAAGTCCTGCCCGAGTCGAATATTTTTTCAAAAAATATAATAGGACAGATGTTTGACGAGCTCGTTGGGCCAATGGTAAAAATGTAGTGGGTGTTGTGGGTTCGATCGCCACCGAGTTTCTAAAGAAAGTATATTTTTTCTGAAACATGTTGGACTTCGTCTGGAAATTTGGATTTTAAATCAGCGGAATATCGAAATTCTGCCCGGGTAATCAACGTCGTAACGCAGTTTCAGTTTGTGGATTTCCGAATGTTCAAACCGCAGAAGGTCGACAACGCATTTGTCGAAATGTTCACCTACCATCAAAATGAACCCGACAACTCATCTATTACAAAAAAATCTTATAGAACGGGAATATTTATTCTAAATCGGATATCCTTTAGCACCCTCAACAAACGGACGTAGTTATACGTCTTCTTTTAGTGGTCGCGTAACTTCCTATCCAAGTTTTATATTACGTAGAATCCACAAAAGAAGTGCCTATCTACGATTCTAGATGTAATAAGCAATCATTATACTGAAAATGTTTATGTATGATTTTAGTACAAGATGCATGAAATTAAATTAATAATATAACTTGTATTATATGGATGTTGCACAGAATCGCCAATACTTGATCCGAATGTAGGAAAAAAACCGAATGTATAATGAAACAGGGTTGTAGAATTAATTAGCTCATAAAAGTTTTTCAATAAAACTAGTTTGAAACATTATCCGACATATCGGATGCCCTTGGCATGCGACAATTTTGTAGCGAAAGGTTTAAAAACCGGGCTCAACCTTCGGCGCGTCTTATCTTTGAACCCACCTTTTAATTTATTTCATTTTATTACGAGACCCACCCGGATTTCACACGGCAAATTACAAAATTATCTTGAAAGAGTAAATGTTTTTTTTTGCATATTATTTAGTTTAGCTTGAATAGCTATACCCGATTATTTATAACCCTACCTTTTACAATACATAATAATACACAAAATTTACCCAATTTTATTTTTAATATTATTTACCTATAATAAACATCCACAAAATGTTTTACACTCTGTGTATTCACAACACATAAATTAAAAAAGATTTGTAATTATAATTATTATTTGAAACAAGCACAGCAACAAAAAATCATTGTAAAAGATTACAAGGCTTGTATAAAAAATCTATACATTATGATACATTTTCTCTCTTTTCTCCTAACAACTCATAATAAAAGTAAGAAGGGGTAAGAAATTCTACTTTTTTGCGTATGATTATTTATTTGGAAGAAAAAGAATACGTAGTTAATGCAAAATCTGAAAGTCACGGCCACATGCTAATACAGTGAGCAAAGATTACACATTCAATAGGAACAGGAACTTCGTAGACAATGTTTATGATCAAAGGAACATGTTGACCGTATAAATCGTGAGAAAGCACATCATATGCAAATATTCAGTAATCAACTGCATCCTTGCTTGTTTCTGAAGACCGTTTGCATTTTATATTATACTCTACAAACAAATATGGCTGGAGCTGGATAAAAACACAACTTTAAGCAAAAAGTAATTACTTTTTAAAAATAAAACAGGCTGTGTTTTAATAAAAAAGTACAGTACATGCGAGGGAAACAGTCAAGAATTTCTTAAACGGTATATTTAATAAAATCCATTAATTTTTTGCATATTAGGGACAGTTAAAACACATTGAATCTGCACAACTAATAAAACTAAAGGAAAAAATTAAACAAAACCTTAGCGATTTCCGTTGAAAGTGAAACAGTTTTTTAACAAAAATAACGTTTCACGCCAACCGTTGCGAATCACTTGCAAATTAACAACTAGTATTCGTGGAGTAACTTTTTTGTTACCACCTTCTATTTGTTGTACATTTTGTAATAAACAAACAGAGCCAATATAAAACCTTTGAAAATCTAACAAAAACTTAAATTGCCTTCTAGACACAAAACCAAGAAATATTTCTTATTGACAATGAGGAAAAAATCATAAGATCATAATTAGCAAATTACAAGTGACATCACGCCATTAGAAGCAGAAGCAGAAATCGAGTAATGTGTTATGCAGTATTCGTGTAAAATCATAACTACATTATATATACACTAAAAAAGAATTTAAAACACTATTTTTTTAACTTTCCAAGGTTTAAATCAAAGATGAGCATTACAGTCTTAATGTTAGAGACAGTCCTGGTTCCCACAACCCTCTAATGAGGTTATTGGCTTCGATCTGATGAAAAGCAAATTGGCAAATGACGCATGTCGCAATAATTGGGCTTAAGCCCAAAGATGTTGGCCTATGCAAAGTTTCAAACCTCGCGATATAACTGAAACCTCAAGATGTTACTGGCGTTGAAAGAAATTATATCGTGGGACGCACGAGGTTGATAAAAGAGGTATCTGGGATCTTAGTTAGACGGACTCGTTAGTCTAATGGTAGCAACGTATAGCTAATGATCAACGGGCCATGGGTTCGGTCCCCACTAGGTCCAACATGCTTCTAATTTTTCAATTTATATTTTTCTAACATGTCTGGAAATCTGGATATCTAAATGGGTAGTAAGAATATAGAAATTCCGTCCGAGTCACGAGCCACCGACCACAGATGAAAAGGCCGTGAAGCTTAATCGTGTTTCGGGTTCAGTCTGTGGATTTCCGAATATCCAAAGCCGAAATAGGTCGACAGCGCATCTTGTGTAGATGATATAGGCTGGGGTATATCCCCTGCCTCACGTAAACCCCTTTCCAAGTATGTCCTCCTTAATTAATAAAAAAAAGGAAAACCTTATTTGAGCAGGGTAATTTATGAGTCCAACTTACCGCCTTAGAGTATCCACTCCCTGCACTACCGTCTGAGGAGTTGCTGAGCCGCCGCTCGGTCGAGGCGGGCGGCGACCACGCGCTTCCACTTTCAGAGGGCATTATCACATCACTCACAGTCACAGTTCACACACAATTCACACTACACTGCACGGCTCCCCACGGTCCATTTTACGGATGTAACTGAAAAGAGAGAGACGTTTGTAAACGAAGGGAATATATGACAGCATACGCACAAACAAGTGAACAATCTGACTCGATTATTTATAATCTATATCTATACTAATATATAAAGCTGAAGAGGTTGTTTGTTTGTATGTTTGAAAGCGCTAATCTCAGAAAGAACTGATTCGAAAAAAACAACCTTTTTTGTTGGTTAGAGCATTTATCGAGGAAGACAGCTAAATACTAATAGGAGCGAAGAAACAACGGAAAATGTGGAAAAAACGGAGAAAATTATTCATCTATGTGGGTTTCCTATGCGTACGCTGCAAAAACGGTTCAAGACACCCAAAAAAATATGTACGAAAGAAAGGTTCCCCTTTAAATGATCTAAAAAATGTCCGTGATACGTCTGTATTTTAAGATAAACATGCAAGAACAACGGGTCGTGTGTAACAACTTAAATTTATAAAGATGAAGAGGAGGTTCGCAAAACCACTTTGGATGCTCAAAATATATTACACGGGCAAAGTCACTGACACAGCTAGTGTATAATACAAGATAAGGTTAACAAAATGGTAATTTTCCACTATCATTGAAAAATGCAAGGCACAAACATTGACGTAGTGTTGTAAACTATAAACGGATGGTAAATTTATGACTGCTTTTCTATTAAATAAATACAGTTGAGATGTTCTACATCATTATAGGTACCAAGTACCCGGGATATCTCTTTCGTTTATCGAAGTAATATCCGGGAAATGTGGTCAGTAAACCAATTAAGGTAATAACGAAAGATATGGAGTCCAAGAATTGACATTACATCGTCCAAAATACACCTACCTATTGAATGTTGAGAAAGGAAATCCTTAACGAATTAATGAGAGAAATTTGTTAATTATGACGTATGAAGTCGTTAACAAGCTCATGTTAAACTTACGAATTTCCGCACTATAATAATAGGTTACTCTGCCAAACTAAACAGTAATGTAGGTTAGTAACTAGTATAAAAATACTTGATACATACAAAACACAACACCTAAAGCTATAATTTTATATAACATCATATGAACATGATTACTTAAAAAGAACTTTTGAATATGTTACATAGATTAGAAAATTACACTTTGAATTAAGAATTCCAAAAATATCTTCATCACCAAACTTACTACCCTAGCTTAACATTTACAAAGAATAGTGAAGTAAGTCGTAAGTGGTAATTAAGCAAAACTTCCTATTGTTCGTTCAAATTACTTTTTACACAACAACTTGCATAATTTCGCAACGAATTTTTACTATGTATTAGTATTTCGTAATATATAATTGCAATTAATACAAATCCGATTTAAATGATAGATTAATTGGCCATCATTAAGAGGAATACATTAAGTTTGAAATTATTTTAATAAACGTGATGCAACCGGAACTTTAATAATTTTAAACGCAATAAAAACACAAACTTTGCATCTATCGAACTTTGTTAGATCATTCGAGACAACTTAGCGTAATCCTTTATCAGATAAGAACAATCACTTCAAACTCACAACAATTTGGAACACACGTAATGGAAAATATTCCTTAGGAAGTATAGGAATGCTGATTACCAGAACACTGTTTATAAGCTTGTATGCGCTTACTAAAAGCCGAATATCTAGGTAATAATCGCAGTAGCAAACGACACGACCACTCAATACAACCGCGCGGCAATAACTGAAGTGACGTGGTCCAAGCCTCTTGGGCTGAATGACGTCAACATTTTGATCAAGTGATTGCACTCTCGAGTCAAGACGATAATCTTTATCTGTGTAAGTCTAAATTGCAGGAGGATGATGTAGCTAAACCGATATGTTTGATGAGGGAGAGAAGACATGTTACAAATAAGCTATTTTTTGTAGGTCGTAATCATTGAAAGAATTGATGACGCTGGCAGAAATCAAATCCACGACTACAAAGTTGTCTTCCCATTGAGGTACCGCATCCCGTACATCATCATAAATCTATTATAGAATTCATTTTTATATAACACTTAATTAATATTAAATTCTTTAATGCAACTCTTTGTTAGAATAGTTATCATTCAGTATTTTTCCACTAAATAACTTTTCAATTCTATAATCTCTTGTTATGATATCTAAGAAGAAAAATTCTGAGCCCTTTTAGTTTAATTAAACTTCGAAACAGATGCAAATACACGACCGTAATCAAATCGACATTTCTCATTTGAAACTACAAGTTTATTTATATCACTTCCTGACTCTGACCAAGTCCAAGAAGTGATCGCATCGAATGTAGTTCACATTTTATTGAGCATTGTAACAATCTATAAATGTTACTGTCGCTACATCTACAACACCAGCTGTTTCTCATGTACGCAGGATTTAGTATCTTGCACCTAATAACTACCTATCGATAACTCCGGGATAAGCTATTAAGAAACGGTTCGAACATCTGAGTAATAGTTGAGTAGTAGAGTTGGAACCCGTTACTAATATAAAATGCTTTTACCCCAAGTAACAAGACTTGGGGTAAAAAAATGGAAATGAAAATAAATATACATTACATCGCTTTTCCTAAAATAAATTCACTTATTACTTAAATAAAACACTTTAATGGTTTAAAACGCGATTTTACTAATATATTGCGTTTTAAACGGTAAAAGTGTTTTATTTAAATGTGTACTACTCGCGTAAACTATAGTCAGTATTCACTTATTATTTTCAAGACCATTGTGGCCGGGAATGGACACAACAAAAATTCCACGTTTCCTTTAGAGTTTTTCGTATGTTCCGGGATTTCTCAAGGATATAGGAATAATTGAAGTAATAGATTTGGTAAACCATGTCTGTATCACATATAGTATTCATTCATCCATACAGAATACAGATGAAAAGGTGTCTAAGGAATCGAACCGATAGATGACAGACAACACAAAAACAAGAGAACTAGACCTGTCAAACGTAGAAAGTAGAGTAACTTGACAACATCCTTAGATAAGTTCAAATTGTAACCTACCGTCATTGAAACTTAATTGAAAATAGGCATTGTTTAAAGGACAATGGGGAGAAATTGACTTCCTGATATGAAACCTGGTAATTGTGCTAGCCTATATACTCTGACGCAGAGTAATGGTTTCTCGAAATCGTCTGATTGACATTTCGAAGGAATATTGTGATTTATACATCATCTGCGCTTGATACGTTTCGAGGAAATGATAGCATATTGTGGTGTCTTCATAAAAGGACTTAATTGATCGATGTTGTTAAAGAACTATTGTAATATAAGGCGGAAAGATGAAGGGTTTTAAACATCCAAAACGTCATTTATTCTTTAACTGTACTAAAATTTTGACATGCATACAAAAAATAAAACTAAACAATATATACGCGTATTACGTGGTAAATAGTGTCTGTAGACATTTAAATAAAACACTAACGGTTAAAAACGCGATGTACATTAGTTAAACTTATTTTGAAATTATTTCAATTACGTCTCCCCGGGACCACGGCTGCTGCAAAGCCTCCGTAAACGTAGGGCGGTAGTAAAGTCAAATAAGTTTAACTAAGACAGTATATTACTTGGTATTCAATTTAAAAAATGAGCTAAATATGAACCAAGACCACGTGCGAGTTGTATTTCTTACTGATGACTTCTTTTAGTTTCATGGCTTTCCCATTCTGAATAGATTCTGCCAATATAATGTGTCCATGGGAGGAATTACTAGTAAATCATGAGCAAATAGAAAGATGTCAACCCTATCGCATAACCGTATCTATCGCAAACGGTGGCGTAACGGGAAAATGGAGACACCGAATACCATAGACTATAGAACTCAGTCCATACCATATCTATTATTAATCGTTGTGTAGAACGATTTCAAATAGTTTTTATATAATTTACATAGACACATTATTTTTTCTCTTATATGACATATGAGAAAAAATCCTTAAAATGTCTTAGGATTTGTTTTACAATAATAAAGGTTTATATATAACTACAGACAAGAAAGATTGACTCCTCTGTTCGCCCTTCTTTCTTTCTTTTTTGAATCTATTTTACTATGTACAACATTTTTATAAAAATAAACAGCATTGAGAGCTCATTAAATTGTAATTAAACTCTTTATAACGTCGAAACATGTAGGTCGTAGAGTAGAACAGACCTTGTGTCAAGTTTTAAATTTCCTTTACTGGATTAATTAACGTAAGCCGATACATTTTTAGAGTGGCGTGATTTGGAGAACACCTGGTCTTTGTTTTATGAGTATTGCACAAGTCAAAGAGCAGACTGATTCGGTTATTCGTATAAATACGACTATACTACTAAGACACAAGTAGGTATATAATATTCATATCAACACTAAAATTATAGAGCTGGAGAATTTGTTTGTTTGAACGCGCTAATCACAGGTTAACTACTGGTTCGAATTTTAAATATAATTTTTGTGTTGTTTAGACCATTTATCGAAAAAGAAAATTATTCGTCTATAAGGCCTCTATTGCGCTGCGAAAACGGATCAAGAAACCAAGATTTGTATAAACGAAAAAACCGTCCGCGACATGTCTATAATTCTAGATTAACTTACAAGAAAGAAATTAATGCATTATTACCAACTATTTGTTATACTTGTATCTACATCAATCGCGGACGAAGTCACGGGCACACCTAGTATTAACATTAACAGAAAATTTGTAAGAAATGAGCTTTTACATTTGCTTAGTGCATTGATTGTCACTTGTTTTATGTCAAAATCACAACTGCTTAAACACTTGACGATCAATTTGAAATGTTTTACGTAACGTGATTCAATCGAAAGCAAGGTTGAAACGGCTGAAGTATTTAAATGCATATAAAATAACATCGCAGCTTTGCGCTCCAATGTCAATGAAAGTTAAGGTCAAAAAAGTGCATAAATTAGAAACTGTGCACGTAACGAACTTGTT